GATTCAGAAGAAAGATCTGTGAAGATATTTTTTGTCTCGTTCCACATCTTTCTCAAAAAAAAAATGAAAAGAACAAAGACCTAAAACAACCCATACCTGCCCACAGTTTACTCAGAGCTTTTCTAAGAGCTTGAGGAAAACCCTGGGAGATGTTGGTTTTCTCACCTATTTGTGTTGTGGATTCTCATAGAGATCTTTATTGTCATCACTGCCAGAGGTGCCCTATAGTATTCCCAGTGCCCATTATCACATTGCATTTCCCTTTAGGTAGAGACTGAAGAAACAGAGCTGTTCCGTGAACAGTTGTCAAAACACTGGCATATTCTAATTACACTTACTATGTTTCTGTGAAAGTCAAATTCTGAGCTCAATAGCACTAGAATACACCATAAATAATTAAAGTCACCTCTAATGTGAAAGAATGTAATTAAGATCAGAATCTATCCCATAGAGTCAAAATAGATACTGGAAAGATGGGAATCAAAGGATCATCTTGTCAAAAAGAAAACACACAGAAGTCTCTCAGCAAAGCAGCTGGCCCTAAATGATGGGCAACCAAACCATTTTATCCTTATGTTCTTAAAAATGAATACATGAAGCACATGGACTACTGAAAACCCATTGCATGTCTTCTTCTCATTAGCAAGCATTCTTTAGGTAGTGCTCAACGGAAATGAGATGAAACTCACTTCACCGTGTCCCATCCTCTTGGGACTTAAAATCATGTTACACGAGAGATGTCTCTTTGGAACACCTGCTGATAAGCATCTCTCTCTACAGGGAATAGACAATGTTAGATATAGCTAATGATACAGCTTTAAAGGTGGGACAGACGGTCCAAAATGACAGGCACGTCCACAGCCTAAAGCGTTTTTACACAGAAACAAGGTCAGAGCCCATGGGAAAGGGATGCAGCTTTTTCATACAATTCCAGGGGTGGCCTCATCTTTTTAATTCTGCCCACTCGTATCAGGAAGATGTAGGAAGGCAGTGGGATAAGTCACTGAGCAATCCCCACTCATCTTGGTACGGAAGGGCTAGGGAATGAAATCTAGAAGGCACAGGCAGTCGGCTAATGGGGTGAGGACAAGCAAGTAGAAAACTCTGCATCTTTTGGCCAGTTACAACCCAGGAAATGCCACAGAGACCCTGGCACAACTGAAACCTATCTTTGCCAAAATATAGGAAGTGGAAAAGATATGCAGGCTGGTGTGTGGGGAGTGTGTTAATTGTCTCATTTGGTTACAGCAGTTCTCAGTGCTTGGTCTTTTGTCCAGCCTGGTTCTTAGAGACAGGAATCCAGGCTCAGATTTAACAGGGCTTGAAATGCTACCATACAATTTAAGCTTTTTAAGATTTCAGGCTACAAGCATTTGTGAAAAAGTTATCCCTGTCATTCATGTGAGCTGGGTCTAAGCCCCTTCAGCTTTCCTTAGCCTGATTACTCCCATCCACCCATCCACCCACCCAAAGACCCCATAAAAAGGTCAGGGCAGCATTTTCACAAGTGAATAATCCTCTTCCGTGCCTTCAAATCTCTGAGAATTAGCTGCAAGTCGCTGCAAGCTGTAAAGGTCAAAGCCAGAGAGATCCAAAATTTGTGAATAAATAGCTAGATACAGATTTGGCTTCCCAGGTTTAAATACTTCATACCTATTCCTCTGTAGTTTAACCCACCCACCAGCGTTACTCTCAGTGACAAAACCAGGATCAGCTGAACCCCACCTGCCTTTTTTTTTGGTAGCTTGGAATTCAAAAGAGGTAAGAGCTGGTTGGAAACAGACAGTGGGGGGAATATCCTTATTTCATACTGTGTGTTTCTGTCCTTCCTCTGTGATTCACTACCAAGCCTCACATCCCCTGTGCCTGGGGATGTTCTCCCTCATCTGCCTCTGGTGCTAGAGGGTGAGGAGATCTGGGCTTTGGGCTGGAAATCCAACTCTCTGCGGATCCCTACTTTCCCTAAAATTAAACTCAACTTTCAAAGAGGTCTTGATTTCACAGAAAGGGAATCTGCTTCATTATTACTGGTTTGTCTGTGTTCCCCATGCTGCATTGCTATGGAAACGGGACCAGAAAATAAGTCTTTTGCATGTAGGTCATGATATTAGTGGAGAAGAGAAAGTCTGGGTGAACGGGTGAGTGGGTTACCAGAGTGAAGTGGGGCAGAGTAACCACCTAGCACTGCATCAAAACAGTGGGGGATTTCATAGTAGTTGTCCTCAAAAAACTATTGAATTAGACACCCAGTGGGCTGAAAGATCCTAGCACTTAGAGCAATTGAGAGCCACAAAACATAGACAGGGAGCCAGCCCACAGGTGAAAAATGAAGTGACAGTGGGGCACGTAACTGAACATGCAGGCAAAAAAATATGCTTTTATTCATATGCCCTGTTTTTTAGTGGTGGCTTCAGTTTCCCCCTTTTGTGTCTTCATTTCCCTCCCAGGTGATGGCAGAGCAGGGCATGGCTGCTGTCTCTTCCATCTCCCCAGGATGCTCCCAATCATGCATGGTCCAGCTCTCCCAAACCTCTTCCCAGAGGGAGTTACAACCTTTTGGGTAGAGGATATTACTTAAAATCTTGGGTTTGGATGGGAGAAGAGCATGACCTCTCCTTTTTATTATTTTGCCCTCTGTCCAAGGCAACCTGGAGACATTCTAGACCCTGCTTCCCATTACTGAGCCCCTTTCCCAAGTGGACTGCAATGTAAAAATAACGGAGTGCTGTGGGCAGGGGCAGAGAGGGCAACTCAGTGGGGCACATGCTCACCAAGTCAGCGAACCCACTGCACTTTTCACTCTCCTGATGTAAAACAAGCAGGGCTGCTTTTGCAGTCCAGGGGTCCTGCAATGGGGAAGTTTGACCAAAGTTGCAATAAAAAAGAGCCTAAAGGAGAGAGGGAGTGTAGTCTGTGTAGTTTAACGCAGTTTATAGATGAGTCACCAAGAGTGGCTGGCATTATAAACCATAGTATGAAGGGTGGTGTGTATTTAGACAGGGGCTGTGGTTGCAGGAAATGCAACACCGTAAAAGCAGACAACATGCATACCTCCTGTATTAACTGTATTAACATTGTTGTTCTTTTTTTGTTTGTGTTTTTGTTTTGGCTTGTTTTTTTCCCAAAAGCTACAAGGGCAGGTTGTGAAGCGGAGGTTGGCCCCTCTCCTTCTTTCCCCTGTTGTCTTTTTCCCTTCTGCAAAGGAAAGATCTTCCTTAAGAGACAGGCACGAGCCAACGTGTGCACACTGGTTGACACACAAAAATGGGGAGAGATGTTATTCTGGCTAGATCTGCAAGGAGAATTACCCCTCTTCCCAGTGTCCTCTTCCAGTTGAAAAAAAAAAAAAAAAAAAAAAAAAAAAAAAAAAAAAAAAAGCAAAGCTACCTCTCCTTTTCCTAGAGGAACTTCAGCACATTAGAGTAGTAGGAGAAAACAATCTTATGGGGGACAGTCTCTTGTCCTTTCCCCAGTGAAGGGATGAGTAATCACCATCACCCCTAGGCTCAAGGGAAGGAGTTACAAGCCCTGGCAGCCCCCTCCTTGGAGCTGGCAGCGGGCCGTGATGTGGCAAGCAAAGCTGGGCTCCTGGAGCTCCTCACCGGCTGGGGCAGGACCCTCCTGCCTGGCTGCCTTATGGGGAGAGGAGCAGAGGGGAGAATCTCTTCCCTGCTGCTTCCAGCCTGCTCCCCCAGTGGGGCATCACCCTGGCACTTGGGCAGCAGCGTGGGGGGAGCAGAACAGTGGAAAGATGTGAAGAGTGGCCCCAGCCGGAGCGGTGTGTGTGTGGGGTGCCCCAGAAGAAGCACTTTGCCCTTCCACAGTCTGAAATGGCTGGATTCTGGATGGGCAGCAGGACCTCGGCGCCCCGGAGCTGTTTGTGGGAGACAGGTTTTCTCCCACAGCCTGATCTGAGCTGCCTCCCAAGGCATCAGCTTGGCTCCTTCTGGCCACGGGCACCCCGTGGAGGAGACACGGGGGAAAAGAGAAGGAGCCCGGGGGCACGGCCGGGTCCTGCCAGGGGCACAGCCTTGCCGGGGGGAGCGGGACCCCCCCCCCCCGCCGCACCCCGGCTCCAGGGGTACCGAACCAGGGAAGTGGGGTGAGAAACGAGCCGGGGGAACCCCCAAATTCCCCGCCTCCAGCTGCCCTCTGCACCCCCGCTCCCCCTCCCCGAGGAAAGACCCGAGGCAGCGCTGATCCCGGGCAGGTGGGCTCTCCCTAGGAGTGATACTTGGAGGCGAGGGACCGCACTGACACAGCGGAAGCCCCCTCCCCTTATATCCCGCATCCCTGCATGGTGTCCGGCAG